CCAAAAGGGATGCCAAAGATAATATAATTCGCTACAAAGCGAGACTCGTTGCGAAGGGGTATGTCCAAAAACATGGTATTGACTACGATGAGGTGTTTGCTCCAGTTGCTCGAATGGAAACAGTTCGTTTGCTTCTATCCCTAGCTGCACGAGATGGTTGGGAAGTTCACCATCTTGATGTGAAGACGGCTTTCCTTCATGGAGACTTAAAGGAGGATGTACGTGTATCACAACCCGAGGGGTTCGATAAGCCCGGAAAAGAACATCTTGTGTACAAACTGGTAAAAGCAAGAGCCTGGAATTCAAAGCTAGATGCAACTCTACAACTTGTTTTCAAGCGTTGTCCACGTGAACATGCTGTATACAAGCGAAACACGAAGAATGGACCATTAATAGTTGGTGTATACATTGATGATCTAATCATCACAGGTCCATGCAAGGATGAGATTGTTGGGTTCAAAAGACAGATGAAAAACTGTTTTGAAATGAGTAATTTGGTACTTCTAACATACTATTTGGGAATAGAGGTGAATCAAGACAAAACTGGCATTACTTTGAAGCAAACAGGATATGCAACAAAGGTTCTAAAAAATGCAAATTTGTGGTAGTGTAATCCTGCAAAATTTCCTATGGATCCAAGTCTCAAGCTTGGAAAAGATGAGGAGATGGAGTCTGTTGACGCAACTGAGTACCGAAGGATAATTGGGTGTCTTCGATATCTAACCCATACAAGATATGAGTTATGCAATTAGAATAACCAGTCAATTCATGGAGTCACCAAAAACATCACATATGCAAGCTGTAAAACAGGTGCTGCAATATATTAAGGGTACAATCAATTACGGGATTCGGTACACGAGGAATGGCGATGCAAGTTTGATTGAAAGAGTACAACTGGGATGATTTTCTATTATGGGGGTGGTCCGATAGCATGGTGCAGTGGATAACAAGGCTGCAATCATGTTAATGAAGAATCCAGTGTCCCATGGGAGAAGTAAGCATATTGACACTCGATATCATTTCATTCGTGAACGTGTCGAGAAAGAGCTAGTAAGGATTGAGCATTTAAGTGGTGACGAGCAGAAAGCTGATATCTTGACAAAAGCATTACCGATCAAGTTTATCGAGATGAGGCAACTCATGGGCATTGAAGATTTGGCGGGAATGAGGACTGGAATCAAGGGGGTGAATGTTGGTTAACTCCAGTCCTGGATTTAGTTTAAATTTAATCACAGTCTCTTTTCTTCTTCCTCTCCCTTCCAATTTGGTCCAACCACCCATTATTCTTCTTCTTCTTCTTTCTTCCCCCCCCCCCCCCGGTATGGTCCAGTCACCCATTTTTTCTTTTTTCTTCTTCTTTCTTTTCTATCTTCCTCCCCTTTTTTATTTGGTTAAGCCACCCACTCCATCTTCATTTCTTCTTCTTTCTTGTCCAACATCGTCTTGCAGTCTTGCCCAACCCTATGACTCAAAGGTCACCGGATCGTTCATATCTTTGTCAGATCTGAGAAATCTGATTCAGATCTGTGAAGGAGGTCAGCGTCGATGAAGGATCTTCTTCTTCATGTCATCTTCATCTTCCTCTCCAAATCTTTTTTATCTTCTTCAGATCTTCTTGAATTCTTCCATCCTGACAGAAGGCTCAATTTGGGTCTGAAAGATGCTCACCAGAATTCTGGATTGGTCAGAATTTCCTTTTTGGGCGGCAGAGATTTGAGCCGGGCTAGGTTGCTGACTGCTTGATTGGTGGGGATGTGGGGTAGTGTGGAGGGGTATTTTGGGGAAGTCAATGCAAATCTAAACTTTGATTAAACTCTGTGCCCGGTCAAAGCCAGAAGATTAATAATGGACGGAGGGAGTATACAATAGTAACACTAATATAAATATATCATATATATTGATAAACATTAAATTTCTAATTCAGAAAAGGTTAACATCCATATGAAAGAAAATATGTAACAAAGTCTCAAAAATCCTCAAGAAAGTAAAAAAGAGCATTCTGTTGTTGATGAGAGAGCGTTACTGACTACTGAATGTTGAAAAAAAGTAGAAAAAATAAAAAAGACAAGTAAAAAATTAATTACTGTATAAAGCACTTCTTACAGCGAAAGAGTGAATCGAATGCCAGAGACTGTGAGTAGCTGTGAGATGACGGCTTTCGGCAACGAAAAGAGAATCGTCTGTCGAAGGAGCGCAGCAGGGGAGTTGTCGACTAAGAGGGTTCCAACTTCCTAAGATATGGCATTCTAGGGATTCTAATTAATGGCTTTTTGGATTGCGTCTGTAATGAGTTATAGTGTTTGACTCTATGAAGGAAAGCAATCTCCAACTCAACAAAGAGTGTAGAAGGTATTGATATAACATAAAAAGAAAAGAGAAGCCTCGGAAGTCTAATGCAGATTTAATTTAGCTAGCTATTTTGTAGTAAACCAAGTTTTATTTCTTAATTATCAAGTTTTTGTAATTTTTGAAGTCCTAGTGATGTAATTGAAAGAACTGCTTGTTTTTTAGTAATACTCATGTTTCAAAGAAGTTCCGAGTTGTGTCAGTATTTTAACATGGAGTTAGAGCCAATCACAATAACGCTGGGAACACACCATCACGTATTGCCAAGCACGTAATCAACTTTTTATGTGCGGTCTAGATCTCCTTATCTGGCACTCTACTCACTTCTAAATCCGCAAAAGTTAATTCCCTTTCTCTCAGTAACCTGATCTAAAAAGTTATACTTTTCAAATGCTGACCAGGAAAAAAAAGAAGACAACAAACCAAGTGTTAAATAGTGCTTCAATGAGGGAGCCAAATGTGTGCAAGTACCCCATGAGCATAAACAAAGTTCGTGTCTACATGTTCTTTTTCAGGTGAAACCCATTTTCAAGTTTCAGGGTTCTAGTTTTTCAGCATCATGTTCAAATTATTCTGACTTGTGATAAAATCATATCAAGCCAAGCATTTCAAGCTTTCAGCATGCTTCAGCTTTAGCGAACAAGAGAGAATAAATATTTAGCTTAAGTTGTAGTGTAGTTGTAAAGTGCTGAAAATAGAGTAATGAGTTATAAAGTTAGACTCTATTGAGGGAAGTTATTCCATTCTAGCAAGGAATTTTGTAGGTCTCATTGCCTTGATATAAGGAAAAAAGGGCAGCTGCGTGAAGAATAAAGGGAAACCTAGAGTCTAATGCAGGCGTAAAGGGTAAACTAGTTATATAAATTACAACAAAAAGTAGGCCTACCTTTATCTTCATAGAATAGAATCAGGTTGTCTTAATGTTTTCGCACAGGTAAGAAAGGTAAGTATTTTGATTCACTAGCCAGAACCAGTGCAATAAAAACAAAAGAATCCCTAGGTAGGAACCACTCCCATTATGGAGTGACTTGAGTGAGTTGTAAGCCCCAAGTTGGGACATGAATGAGACCTTTAGAAGGACGTAGAACTCAATTCCATCAGGAACTGAATTGAACTCCATTGTTTGTTACACTGTTTTAGCAAGGAATTCAATTTCAACGAGAATTGAATTCTTTTTAAAACAATTGAATTCTGATCTCCTGAGCTGCAATTTGCTACAGTACGCAGGGATTCGCAACTATGTGCCCTTATCATCTTCGTTGTTCTTCTTCTTCAAGTCATCTTGGTTGTTCTTCTTCGACGCTCTTCTTTGCTGTTCTTCAATTATTCATCCTTCTTTGTTTGTCTTAACTCCCCCTCTAACTTCTGCTCCTTATTTGCTCTTCATTGTTCTACTTGCACAAATTTGGGTATAATTGAGACCACGACAGGAGATAAAGTGAGGCCATGAGGGACAAAGAGGGAATAGTGGGGATCAAATGGGAGCACGAGGGAGAGGGAGCAGGAAAGGTTAGGTTAGATATATGTATTCCAAAGAGGAATTCATTCTAAAATTGAATTCAATTCATTACAAGAATTGAAATCCATTCCTCACAAGAATTGGTCCCAAATGGGTCAGAACTCAGAAGCAATCTCAATTGAATCAGATAACTTAAAAAATACAGTTTTATATATAACGCCTGTGTTCTCACATATATATCATAAAATCAATAAAACTAAACACTCATTATGTTTACAAATATTTTATGTGTATGTTTTAACCAAAGACTAAAGAGGCAGCATAGTAATTAACGGCATGAGGCATGTGAGAGGACCATTTTTAGGCGAGAGGCAGGCGGTCAAATGGTATCTAGCTAAAGAGGTCGCAGTGAAGAATGAGGCAAGGATGTAATTTTAAAGCACATTTATAGTAAAAAATAAAGGAAAGTGGACTGAAATTGCTCAAAACCAGGATACTAGAGCAGTTCGGCATAAGCCCTAAGTCCCTAACAACCCCCAAATGTAAAGCCCAGTCATATTAGGGTGCAAGCCCAAATTTTAATCCGTGGCGCTATCGCCCCTATATTGATTTAACAAACCCATGGCATAACCCTCAAAAGCACTTTTCAATCTTCTTCAGAATAACAGAACATAAAGAGGCCAAAGCAATGACATGAAAATTAAGAAAACTTCTAAAAGCATACCTCAACAATATGGTATCTCTCTTGAGCTTGTAAAAGTTTGAATCTAGCACGTCTTTCAACAACATAGCATCTAAAGTCCAAAAACTCCTTCATATAGGAAATGAGTAAAGAGTCCGAAAAATTAATATGCATCCACAGAAAGTGTAGCCGTTGAGAGATCCAAAAAACAAACTTCCATTATTAGTCCTCAGAAGTTCACCCAAAAAAGTCCTCAGAAGTTGTAGGATCGGCATGTTATGCAGTAAGTAGAGTTAAAAAGTCAAACAGGTATTTCAAAATATTGTAAGTGGGATATGATGAGTATTTAGTTTTAAACTACCACCACATTTGATTGCACTGTTCATTATATATTAAAAATGAATATTAGGATGTCCGTATTTGAAAAAGTTGAAAACGCTATTTCAATCTTTTGATCTACTGATACAGGGATACATGACAAATGTTATGGTATGCAAGGAGAAGCTTGATAAGAAGATGTCACCTGAAGCAATTCTTTCAAGCCCATCAGCTTTGGTTCCCCATTGAGAATACTGACCATTACCAACAATAACAAAGGAATATAATGAAATGCTTCTGATAATTTCAATAATGATAAATTGGTGTTTAACTATCTCAGTGATGCAAACTTACATTGATACATATACACTGAGACAGAAGTACTACATCATACTGATACATCTATCTCTAAACAATATAAGATATGTAAATACAGTCGATTTTACAAATAATATTTAAAAAAGTAGGGGCTTCAATTCCAATATTTAAAATGCAAGGACTCATTGGTTTAAAGAATTCATGATAAAACGCTTCTAATATATTATGCACAATATACATATATAGCCACAAACCCCCCACCCTAGCCCCACCCCCTAACCCTTCCCCTAAACCGCCCACCCTAGCCCCACCCCTACCCTCCACCCCAACAATGTATAATAGCCACAAATTTGGAGGGGGCTTAGGGCGGGGCTGGGGTGGGGGTAGGGGTGGGGCTAGGGTGGGGGATTTTGGGGTGGGCTAGGGGGTGTAGGAACCATCAATTTTCCGAACAGCATAGTTGATAATGGTGGGCGACATTTGCGCTTAGGGCGCCTAAGGCACAATGGCGAGGTCTTTCCGCCATACCAAGCTAGGGCGAGGCACTTTACGCGAGGCGCGCCATGGCGGATGCCATTCACAACTGGATATAAGGCAAGAAGCGGAAACCATCCTCGCTCTACGTTTGGAGTTTTTTGTTAAATTTCTTTGTAACATGCGGGTATCCTAGATCTGATTTTTTGTTCCAGTTTTATTTCTAGATTTTCTTTTTCTTTTTTTAGTTCTTTTTTCTTTTGTTTCCTGTTTTTTTATTTACTTAATACTATGTAACTAGTAGTCAATTATGATATAGTGTATTATTATTGTTGTTGTTGTTATTATTATTATTATACACACACAGATATATATAATTATATATATATACACGTACACCTACACGTACACCTACACCTACACGGCTACACATACACCTACACCTTCACGTACACCTACACCTACACCTACACATAGACATAGACCTACACCTACACCTACACCTACACCTACACATAGACATAGACCTACACCTACACATAGACATACACACAGGCACGGGCACAGGCAGGGGCAGGGGCAGGGGCACAGGGTCACAGGGTCACAGGCGCACCGGTACCGATAGTACATATACAGGTACATGTACATCTACAGGCATTAGAAAACAAAAAAGAGATTTTGCGCAGTCTAGGACATTTGAGGGTCATAAACAACCTAGGAGAAATATTGCACAAACCGTCTAAATGTTGTTTGTCACCACTACTGTAAGATAAGAAACATAGCTCTCGTGTGTTTTGCTGATACAGGGATTTGAGACAATGTTGAAATTTTTATGATTATGTTTATCTACCTGCCTCAAGGATCCAAAAGTTATTATGTACCTAAAATTAGGGGTCAGGCTGCGTACATCCACCCCCCACCTGCCATGAGCAGGAGCCTTTGAGGCACTGAGGTAATGTTGTTTTTGCTCTATGTAGACTGCAATGCAACAAACAAAGTGGGACTGAAGAAGTTGTTTACTACTAGGATTCTAATTCTGGTGAGCAAAATTAGCAATTGATTATACTCAGTATATAAAAAAAATCAGAGCCAGCTGATTTTAGCTAATCCTAAGAATCTGAATCTCGGAATAAGCTGAAAAATTTAAACCAAATGAGCTTTTATTATGCAAGCATGCAAGTGGTAAACCTTTTTTGCTGATAGTATAATCTTTTTCACATTTCATGCAATAAGATTGTGTCGGCCAATGGGGAAAAAATCTTACCCAACCATGTTGCAGCTGAAACTAGATTGCAGAGCAGTATGACGATAGAGATTGTTCAATACAATAGATGAATCAGATCCTCTCTTAAGCTGGAAAATATTAGAGGGAAGGAACAATATCATCATGACATCATACGATCCAAACATGGAAATTGATTCCTTCTACATTAATTCAATTAGTACCTCAATGACAATGCGCATTCCCGATCGATCGCTCTCATCTCGAATATCATTTATCCCTTCCAAACTCTGAGAGAGAAAANTTTCACATTTCATGCAATAAGATTGTGTCGGCCAATGGGGAAAAAATCTTACCCAACCATGTTGCAGCTGAAACTAGATTGCAGAGCAGTATGACGATAGAGATTGTTCAATACAATAGATGAATCAGATCCTCTCTTAAGCTGGAAAATATTAGAGGGAAGGAACAATATCATCATGACATCATACGATCCAAACATGGAAATTGATTCCTTCTACATTAATTCAATTAGTACCTCAATGACAATGCGCATTCCCGATCGATCGCTCTCATCTCGAATATCATTTATCCCTTCCAAACTCTGAGAGAGAAAACTTAAGGAAATTTACAAACAACAAGTGTAACATTGGATAAGCATATACAAATAAGTGATTGAGCAAAGTCGAGAGATATCAGAGATTACTAAGACAATTAGCGGAACATCACAAAAGTGAAGAACTATAATTCAGGAAATATTGTAACAAGATTATTGATTATTATTTAAAAAATAAGGATACAAGAAAAATCAATTCTGATCCAGCCAAAACCAGAAAATTAACCCATAAGAACAGTGAATGAATTGGTCAAGGCAATGGTTCACTGATCGGCTTAATCAGATCAATAATCAAAACATTCATGCCACTCGAGTTTTCTAATGATAGTATATTAATTCATAAACAGACACATGACACTCGAGTTTTGAGGGAAAAAATGTATACATGATTATAATTTGAAATGAGAACAAAAAAATTGAACTAAGTAAACATTGGATTCAATTCCTTAGTGTTAGATGGAAAACCAAATTTAGCAATAACATCATAAAATTAGATGCTATTGTTGTTTACGTCCAAGCATTGAAAAACCAAACCGATCCCACCATCCACACTACAAGTCACCCGGTTTAACCCAATTTTGAACCAGTTCAATCTGTTCACTAGCCATTTCGAAGTCTACACAATCTGAGGAATCAGTCCAGTTTAAAATACCATAAACTTTATGCAGTTTGTTTTCCCTGATCACATTCCCAAGCTTAGCTAACACATGTGTATGTTTACGCATGAAAAATTAAGGACAAGCCCAGGGAAATAAAGAAATTGTTGAATGGAAGTGATAATGGAGAAACAAATATGACGTGTATTCACTAGTTAAAGTTACAATACAAATATACATTGTAGACATTTAGACACACGTGTGTGTGTGTGTCTACAGACACGTTACATATAAGCCACCTAGCTACCATACATAATAAGCTACATTATATGGTGAACCAGAAGTTGTTGATAGAGTTGGTTCCTTGAATGGAATTGGTTGAAGAAATGAATTGGAATTCAAAAACATTATAGCCTTTTGTTGACTCTTGAAGAGGTGACTGCAGAGATGACTCCCTGGCTCTATTATAGTAAGTGCAATGGAAAGGTTTTATAGTGCGATTTGGACATGATGGGCTTGGATGAGATTCTGGTCATTGAATTCCAGTAGAATTTTGAAGGGATGGAGTCGATTTAGGTACAATTTACACTGTAACGTTGCTGGAATTTGATTCTAACTGATTGAACAATAAACTATAGATGAATAAGATTTTGCAAGGATTCGGAGCAAATAGACTTGGTAATTGAATTTCAGTATATTTTTTTAGGAGATGGACTCGTGTTAGGTACGATTGACTTTGTACGGTTGCAGGAACTTGATTCTTATTGAGATTACATTAAGGTTGGGACACCGGTTCTCCTGTGATTCCTGTGAAGGTGAAATTAAAGATATAATTGGGACACTGGGTGTTGATTTAGTGTTTCCATATGAGTGGATGAGGAATATGGAGATGTCTTGTGATGGTAATATCGTGGGACACATAATAATGTTGTGTATCTAGACAATAACTTTTGAGTCCCAGTTTTCAAAAAACCACCAAACAAAGAACTTTCTAGTTCCCACACAGAGCAATTTGTTCCTATGGAGTTGCAGATATAGGCATGAATAAGTAAAATCCGGTCATTAATCCTCGGACATTCCTCGAGGAATGTTCCCATGCTCAATCCTTCCTTACTCCGGATGTTTGAACTATCAACCGTAGCAAAGAACTACGGCCCAACATTGGTGATAACATCTTTGCTTTATTACATACTAAAACATGTCTTCGACTTTTGGCCTGAACAAAGGCATTCATTAGATGAAAAAGATTGCCACAAGAGGCTCCACAACAGAGCATCAACCCTTTCTCGAATGGACCTTTCTTCATGTTTTCTTTTTCTGATTTCTTGGCCAAATGATCAGCAAAGCCTTATGCCATTACTGTAGGGAGAAAAAACCTTTACTGTAGGGACTAGAAAAAACCTTTTTCTGATTTCTTCATGTAATGATGGTATTTCCTAATGGATTTGGAGAAAAAACCTTTACTGTAGGGACTAGAACTTGACTTGTTTTAATCTACAACAGGACTGGAAGCTTTAATGACTGGATATTCAATAGATTTCATTGGTGTCACAACTGAATAATTACATAGAAGAAGTAGCAAAAGAAAACCAAGTTGGTCTAAAAAATATAACCAGATAAGGTTGTCAGAGTGTTGGTCTGTTGGAAGAACACGCTGAAAAATAAGGAACAAATTACCGAAGGTGCCTCAAACTAGAAAACTAAGCCCGTGGGAGGTGCTTGAGCTTGGCTATGATACCATGATAAATGGAAGAGATATTTGAGAAAGAAATATGAAGTTTATTTACCAATTTTTCTAGATAAACACACACACAGACAAGTTTCGGTATCTTGCCTCGGTCATTCAGGCATGGGGAGTTAGACGGGGATGTTGTGCACCGTCCACCGTGTTGGAGCAGCTTGGGCTAAATGGGGGTTGGCTTCAGGAGTCTTGTGCGATAAGAAGTTTCACCCAGAATGAAAGGTATGTTCTACCGGTCTATAGTTAGACAAGCTATGCTCTATGGGGCGGATTGTTGGGCGGTTAAGAAGATTCACGTGGGTCATCTGCATGCAACAGAGATGCGGATACTGCAGCGGGTGTGTGGGTAGAAGACACTGGATAAAATTTTGAATGAGGTTATTCGAGGTCGGTTAGGTTTCGGGAAGCTAGGTTGAGGTGGTTCGGTCCTGTGAGACGGCGGAATGTTGACGCTCCAATGCGGAAATGCAAGAGACTTGCATTGGTAAGGGGAGTAGAAGAGGTAGACCTAGGAAGAGTTGGAAGGAGGTGATTAGACAGGACTTGGACTTCTTGCCCTTACTGAGGATATGGCCTTAGATAGAAGCAATTAGAGACATAGGACTAGAGTTGCTGGGTAGGTGCCAAGAACTAGAGGGTGTTGTTGTTGTGTGCTTTGTAAGCCTTTTATGCTCAGTGTTATTTGCTATTTGCTTGTGATACTCTCGTTTTGTAACCTTATTTAATTTAGTTTTAATGGTGTGTGTTTGGTGCTTTATTAGCATTGTATCTGTGTTTTCCTTGCTTTATGAATCTACTGTGTGATCCTTTTTTATGTGCAGCTTAAGCCGGGGGTCTCATGGAAACAACCTATCTACTTTTGAGTAGGCGCAAGGTGTGCATCCACACACCCTCCCCAAACCCTACTTCGTGGGATCCAACTGGGTTGTTTTGTACACACACACACTAGCAAATAGGAAAACTCCAAAATAACAGGTTTAGTGAAAGACAGCTAACTACTGTGTCTGACAAGCTACACATTATCAGACCAACTTATATCTAAGTATATTCAATAGAATTGATGTGTTTTTTCAAAAGGCTATCTTTCAAAATAATACTATGTAAAACAGCATCAAATGCTCAAAAACAAAACATTAATCTTTCTTTGCGGTCTTTGTTTCTTCTAAATATAAATAGTTTGTTTATATGCAGTGGCATTTTGTCACGTAGGAAACCACAGCCTAAATTGTCTCTGCAAAGCTAAGGTATATATAGTCAGTTGTATATAAGCCTCTTTTTAACCTTATTTTTAATCATATAAAATTGTGTAGTTCCATAAGCACAAAGGATAAAGCTATTAAAACCCTACCTTATTTTCCACAAGTTCTGCAATCTTCTGAACGAGGGATGCTTTGTTTGTCTGGTAAGGTATCTGTTCCAATCATTTTAAAAATGAAAAAACCAATTAATTTATTCACCCAATGATATCCATGAGAAGAGAGCAAACATCCAAATAGCAGTATAGTTCAAAGGGAAAGGAAATGAAACCTCCTTAATTATAATTGCAGTACGCTTAGTTTTAGAATCAAGAAGTTCAATATCAGTCTTCCCTCTTACTACTATGCGTCCTCTTCCAGTCCGGTATGCTTCCAAGATGCTTAAATATAAAGAACCCATGTCAACATATACACCATATCATAACATCATGTCAAATTTAATTTGGTCCAAAACAAAAGCTCTTTTTCCATTTCAGATTGTTATCTCCAGGCCCAACTCAAAAGCTCTTCATTCGGATACATCACTACAAAAGTCAAACCATGCTTAGAACTGCTTAGAGCCTAGTTTAACTACATGGAATGTCATGTATATGGTGGTGATAGCTAATAACATTTGGATCATAAGACACTATTTTTTGTCAATTTCATATGTTAAACACTGCACGATACTCGGTCAGGTTCAACTCCATGCAACAAAATATATTGCGGAAGGAATCACACTAGAAGAAAAAAAATCAAAAGGCAATATTGTTCAGACTCTTGCCTTAATTCCTTTAGAACATATTGACTTTGCTTTTAATAATGTTATTGCCAGGAATAACAAACAGGTATAATCACATAAAAGATAGGTGGGAAGAAAATGAGTAAAGTTTTTTGTGATGGATTGCCATAAATAACCCTCTGATGGATGGTCCATGCTTATATGAGTATCCCATATCCTGATATCTCTTTCTTTGATGTTAGATATCAGTGCCCATATAGAGATTAAGCATGGGATATTGGACTACCTTTAATATTTTTTCTCCTCGTTAGGCAAGAGGATGGTGAGGGATGTAAAAGGAGATGATGCTAACTTACCCAATGCTGCCCATTATGATTCCTCCTGTAGGAAAATCAGGTCCAGGCATGTGCTCGAGTAGTTCTTGCAGCTGCAACAAAAAGGGTTGCAATTCAAAGCAAACACAGTTATTAGCAGTGTGCATCAATGGGCTAACTTTAATAATGTTTATTTTGATGATCAATCCAAATTAAAGTGTCAAGGATCTTCTCACATTAGTTTTGCACAATAGTCAGAAGAAGTTGTACATGAACAGGTAAATATGCATCATAAGATCTTTTGAAAGTGATATTTTAGCGTTTTGGCCTGACTGCACTCAATGAATGTAGGTTTAAAAGATCATGTTATGTGGCACAGAAAACTCATCCGACATCAAGTTGTTTTGTCAAAATGTCATATAGCTGTAAGTCCAAGGTTGGTGATGACTGCAAAAGCACAATATTTCTGCCATGACAAGTTGACAACATGTATAAAATGCATGAACTCAGACGTTATAATATTCCATCATGGAGTTTGAGTTTCTCACGCCCTTCCAAAACTTAAGCTAAAACCAAGAATATCTCTTGCTTTTTCTATCATGTCCAATGGAGCCAATGATGCTCATCAGTCATCATGGGTTGTCTTGAAACAACTGCTCTATGTTTTAAACATAGAGGTCAAGGTGCCCACACCCGACCCCCCTCACCCCACAAAGGGTGGGAGCCTTTGAGGAACGGGGTAATGTTGTTGTATAAGACTAGACAAGTCACTGCCTTGAAACACGTTAAAGAGAGAGTTCCATCCCTGATACAAAAGTCACAGCACCAACAAATTTGCCAATTTTAGTGAGAGACTGACATTGATATCATCAATCAATGCAAGAAGTCAGATGTGATAATATTGTGCTATTTTATTTGAATAAATTTCCTGCTCGTAAAATATTATGCTAAAATTATTTGGCATGACGTGTGGCTAAACAGGTCACTTCCAAGGAACACATTAAAGACTCTAGTTTCATCTCTGATACAAAAAACACACCACCTAGAAGTTTGCCCCAGTACATATATATGACAACATGAAAGACCAAAGCAGATCTAATGCATATTAATTTTACAGAAATAAGGAACCAAGTTGTCAATCTAGAGACATTAAGGTTTAACACGAAGGCAAAGGCAGAAAGCAATAAAGATCAAGCTTGGCCCAGGAAGTGCAGCATTATCAATGACCAGAATGAAAAAAATGATTAATACAAAAGATTATCAGAAGAAAGAATGAATTAAAGAGAAAGCATGATGAAGAGGTAACACATATGTGTCAATGTAGGAGAAATGGTCTTCTTCAGGTTGAGTTGTTACATGTTTTGGGTTAAAAATCAAGACCACTGTTACAATACTAGATAACGCTCCCAGTTGGATCTGAATTAATAATGCAAAAATGCATCTCCTTTTCTTTTTTGGGGAAAAAAAGAGACTGCTAGATTGCAAATGATGGCATGGAAATAGTCAAAGAGAAACAAAAAAGGAACCTCCAACAGAATAGAAGTACTCTCAAAATGGCAAAGTGAAATAACAAGTCTCAAAATGGCAAAGAGAAGTAATCTCAACATAGCAATGTGAAATAACTGAATTCATTTTTACCGTTACTTCTGGGTTATGAATTAAGGAAGACATTGCATCAACAAGCTCTCCAAGATTGTGTGGAGGGATATTTGTGGCCATGCCAACCTGAAAGCATAAAGAATGGAAACAATCGCATGACAAAGGGATATGTAAACTAGTATAAATGAATAGAAGAGAAAATTTGACTATTTTCTAGATCAGACCGATTACCGCAATTCCAGAGGCGCCATTCAGAAGTAGATTCGGGATTCTAGCAGGGAGTAGAGATGGCTCTTTTTGTGAGTTGTCAAAATTTGGGACAAAATCAACCTGTTAATCATCATATCAGAAGTGACTAACTCAGAAGTAAGAAACTTATAATTAACATGTAATATAGATGACATACTGTATTTTGATCTATGTCTGAGAGCAGCATTGCCTCTGTAAGTGCCTGAAAATGAAACCATTTATTAGCATCGTCAGCAACGAAAATCATGGGGCTACAGTTTACCAACAAGTAAACATACCCTACTGAAATGAAGGGGTTATCTGATTTAATATGGGGATCAGAATTAGAATACAAAACTTACAAAAGATAATGGGTATTGGCAAAGAGGCTTTACCCATCAGTATAAAGCATAAATGGTCATTAACATTAATTTTAACAAAATATTACATCTGATTTTTGTTTCATTCCCCTCCCTCTCTTTAGGCAGCATCCATTGTGATATCAAGATGAAGCACGTCTCGTAAAGACCTGATTTCTCTTTCAACTCTTTGATTCGGTATAACTATCCTTCCAGTATGACCAGTCACCACTTTCAATCAGCCTACACTAGTACTGAGGTTATGGAACCTATCTGCTCACTTCAGCGAGGGTGGATGATGCTGATGGTGAGGTAGTGATGCAGCAGCAATGGTGGCCAATGTGATGAGAAAGCTGAGTAAGGCCTTGAGTGAGATGGTGGCATAGTGATGAGGAAACTAAGAAAGGTTGAGAGATGGAGGTGGTGTGGTTGCTTTAGATTATTTTCTCCCTTTCTTTTCTTGTTTTTTTCTTCTTTTTCTCAACACTAACCATTTTATAGTCAAAACCCCATAGTTGATGTCTAGTTAGACAAGAAACTCTGTACTCTTATTTATTTTCATAAAAGAATTAGGTTCACATTCACATACTTGAAAACCTTGAACAATATATCTTCCCAGATTAAATTAAGCAATGAATTTAACCAGCAATTAAAATATCCTTAATTTACACTTAAAGCTTCACGACAATGGAACAACTGTATACTTCATTTCCTTTTTTATTTCTCAGATACTCTTTCATTTCAGATTTCAAAGTCCATATCTTTTTTTCAGAATTCAGAACCCCATATCATATTATTCCTCCAAAATTCACCAAATGGACCCTAAGACAACCAAGTGGCTGACTCGAAAAGCCAAAGTTCTATATGCACATCTTGCAAATCTTTAAAATTAGAATTAGAATTTAAAAGCACTTTTGCAAGTTTAGTTCACCTAGAAATGATGTGAAAAATAAAGAGACAAAACTTGAAGTTAATAAGCAAAATAATGTTGGGAAAATTGAGATCATAAAGCATATGGAACATAGATCACCTAAAAATAAGTTAACAAATTTTAGAAAGAATGGCATTAGAAAACAAAAAAGAGATTATGTGCAGTCTAGGACATTTGAGAGTCATAACAACCTAGGAGATATATTACACAACCTAGTCTAAATGTTGTTTGTCACGACTATTGTAAGATAGGACACATAGCTCTTGTGTGTTTTGCTGACACAGGAATTTGAGACAATGTAGAAATTTTCATGATTATGTTTATGTGCCTGCCTCAAGGATCCAGAAGTTATTATGTACCTAAAATACCCTCCTAGATATCTTTGTAGATGTGTTTGAAGACTACAAATATTGTAGTGGCTCCAATCACGTATCCAACAAATGCGTCAATTTGTCTACTATCTTCTTCCATTGTGTTTCCAAGAGCGGATTTGGCTACATGACATAAAACCATCGATCTATTGTAAGAACGATCTTTCATGTTGCTATGTGATGAATGTTTGTATGCATAACCTTAAGGGGAAGATTGCAAACATTTAAGGGAATTGTTGCTTATGTTAATATGCATTGTTTTAAAGAAGATTTTTGTTGTGTATAGTGCATACGCTTAAATCACATGCGCAATTTAAACATAGGGGTCAAGCTGCGTGTGTGATTACTTGTGGTGCTTGAGCTAAGAGTCTCTTTGGAAACAGCCTCTCTATTTTCCAATAGGGAATTAGGGATTAGGTTTTTGTACACACACCCTCCCTAGGCCCTACTCTTGTGGGATTCAACTAGGTTGTTTTAGTTGTTGTTTCTTGTCATGATTAAAGGATAACTGTCTTGTTATCTTTTATGCATACCTACTATTGTTCGTCATTATTAGAAATGGGAACAATGTTGGAACTTGTAGGAAATTGTTGTAATATGCATGAGTAAATTATTTGTATTGAATTGCAAGATTTCCCATTATTCTTTTAATAAATGACAAATTGAGGATCATGACATCAGAAGAGAAAATATGAGCAAATTCGTGCAAGGCAAGGATCGTTCCACAAAACGTGAGTAATTAATCAAGAACTCAAGAACAATACTTAAGAATTGGGTATTATTTAAGGTAGAATTCTTTGTTAAAATAACACTTTGTTTCCGCAATAGGCTCAACTCTTTTCCTCCAAACGAATATACTTATGTAATGTTCAAACTTGTGTCTTGGCAATATTAATTTCTTGTAAGCAGTTACACCTTTTAAAATATTGGTTTTTATCGTTCCATTGCGGAAATCTTTTCAAATTTCATGTCTAGCTTAAAATCAACCAGACAATCGATTGCTTATGTGGTTCAAAGAACCAGAGTTGTCTAGATTCTTTTTCAAGACAATTAATTGTTCAAGGCAAAGTCTGCAATAGCTAGTTTTTTATTTGACTCTTTTCATATTAACCCCAACAGCTCCAAAAAAAAATTGGCTATAAAATGGGTATTTTTACACAAATTTTCTTCAAAACTTTTAGCTTCTTTTGATAACATTTTATATACTACATTTTTATGTATTGGATCCAAGCTTTTGTTGAGACATATCAAGAGTTCTAAGTGTTTTCATATATCTTTCATCGTATCTTTTCATCTACTCTTCGTAAGAGTTCGTCCAAGAGATGCTAAGAAAATCACTTTGTTTACTCCCTTCATTCCAAAATGATTTTCCTGTTTGGAATTGAGATGGTTGATTGAATTTATTTTTTCTTCAATTTATATGAAAAATGGGGTACAACTAAAAAATAAATTTATATATTTAAAAACTACATCAAAAGTTCTACAAAAAATGCCGACAATACAATACAAAGTATAATTTTATCAAATGAGAAATGAAATTAAGCAAATACACTGATTAAACTTTGGCCCTAGAATAATGAACGTAAAACATTTACTTTGTTGGGGTAAGAAATCTTATGTGTGGTATCCTAAGCATTATAACGGTTTGCTAAAAACCCGCAATCTTGGTGGTGTGTTTTGGGGTGGGGTATCTTTAGGGGTTTGAGGCTTGTGAGATATAAGTCTTGGTTGTAAACCGTTTGTCAGTCACTCTTAAGCTTGATAGATAGTGGAATCTCAAGTGAGACAATTAGGGATTGTATTAGCCCTATGTTGGGGTGAACTGAGATAAAATCATTTTATTCGTTCTTAATTACAGAGTTTATTAGCACACTTTATTCCTACATTTTTATTGTGCGCTAATTTAACAACATTCACTACAACTCTACCCCCCCCCCCTCTAGAGGTAGGAACTTATTCTAACAAAGATTGCAACAAAAACTTATTTACTCCAGCATTTAATTAATATGTTAGTTAAAGTAAATAGATATAATTTCATGACTGCAAATTTCAATCAAAAATGCACAAATTAGTTCAAATAAAGCATTCTTAGTAATATGAATTAATCTTGACCTACTTCCAATCTGCACTCTGTGTATCTCATTGCTGCGGGAGGATCTGCATCAATTGACCCAAAGTTCCCATGTCCTTGAATAAGTGGAAAGCGCAATGAGAAATCCTGAAAAAGAAAATATAAGGGTTTGCATACAAAAAAGAAATCAGCAATAATCAATAAAGAATGCAAATGGAAAAAAGTCTGAAGATTAACATTAGTGTCTTAAAACTTCAATTACCAATACCAATAATAATCAACATATTAGGGCCCTGTTTATTTCACATTCTGGTATGTGTTCGGAATCACAAATCCTGAAATGATACCCCTTGGATCAGTTCTGAAATATAACTTGTTTCCTTTTTAAGTGTTTGTGTCAATATAGGTGTAGAATAATAGTACTTCTGGAATAAAAATTATGCTGCAATTTCATATAATGTATTTTTAATTTTTATACAAATACTCTTTATATATATATATATATATATATATATATATATATATATATATATTAAAATTACAACAACCAAGCCTTACATCCCATGTAACTTGGGGTCAGCTCCATGAACCAATAGAAGAATCATATTCGGTCATTCAAAGAAATGTTTCTCTGGCATTTCTTTGAATCCATCGTCATACTCTAGTCCAAACTCAAATAAGACAAATCGCTCCTAATAACCTCTTACCTCATCTTTTTGGGTCTCCCCTTCCATTTTTGCATACTTCATGTGTCTACCCTCAAGACTTCTAACCAGTGCATCATTATGTCTTCTGTGTATGTGCTCAAACCACCGCAATCATTCCGCCCTCAATTTATCTTCAATAGCTTTCACTTCTACCTTCTTTTGGATGAATTGATATGTTAATTTATCCATGTTCACAATTCCATCATAAAATTTACATTTCAGTTACCTTTGCTTTCATTATATGACACTCTTTAGCATCTCAATTCTAAACATTCTATACAACTTCATGTCAAAATGTTGTCTTCAAAGGTATGTCATGACTACAAAGAGCTCGAGTTTCACTTCTTCATTTCAACCAGCATCCATTTTGCTCAATGTACTACATCTCCATTAAATTCTCCATTCTTTTGTATAGTAGAACCCAAATAAATAAAATGATCACTGACCGATATATTTTGAACTTCTAGCGTCACAAACCCATAATGCATGTTTCTATCATCACTAGACTTGCATTCCAAAAATTCTGTTCTACTTCTAATGAGTCTCAAACATGGTTGTCAAGTCGACAAGTCGAGTCGAGTTGGTGACGGGGAGACTAGTGGACTAGGCGACTAGTCGTAGACTAGTCGTAGACTAGTCGTAGACTAGTCGACAAATCATAATTAGTATTGAAATTTTTAACATTATATATATCTACACTAACCCAACATGAATATATATATATTTATATGTCAAAATACCATAACCAAAGCAAACTTATGTTTAAAGATAGCACATAAAGTCACTTAACAAAGAGTACATAACAAGCAACTATCCTTCAATCTTGAAAAATAACACACCAAGAAAGATAATTAACACAATAAGATGGCATTTGAACTGTCCTATGCCACCATTTATTTGTTTGTGGCATAATGTACACTCCACCAGATTTTTGTTGTTCATATTTGGCCAAAAACCATATTTCCATCCGGGATCATTAGAGCTGGCTTTTCGTTTGGGGTCCTTGGNAGAAACTGTAGAATAAGAAAAAAATTAAAAGAAATCTTAAACTGAAAAATTAAAAGAAATACTTTAATGATAACAAAGTAAAAGAAAACTTACCCATTGAGGAGAGTCGGTGATGGAGGCTGATGGAATATAATCGATGATGGAGGAGAGTCGCTGGAAGCCTGGAAGTCGCGGAAGTCACCCTGGAACTGAAAGACTATAGTCGCGACTCGATTCTGGGTGGATTGCGTCGAAGGAGGCAGCGTTTTGTTAAAAAATTTTAAAAATTAATGAAATTTGGGTCGGGTCGGGTCGGGTTGGGCCGGGTCAATTAAATTAGGTCAAATTCTGCAGATTTCTTTCACCGATTATGCGTCGCCTAGTCGCGGCTAAGCGTCGCTTTGCGCGCTTAGTAGCCTAGTCGGCCATAGGCGCTAGTCGCACAGCAAATCTCCCTCACAAAAACGGCCGGACAACTAGTCGCCGACTAGTCGTAGCCTAGGCGACGACTTGACAACACTGGTCTCAAACCTTTAGACTCTTTTGTCTTCTTCCAAACTTTAACACCTCATTAACACCTACACAAGACTCATCTATCAAAACAATATCATTTGCAAACAACACAAACTAGGGCATCAGTTACATCTTCACTATTCGAAACAAAAATCAAAAGAAAAACTTCTGGAAATGATATTAAATAGAAAATGAAAACCTACTGGAAATGTGGAAAAACAAAAAAACAAAGAAAAATGGAAAAATTTGTAAATATATTTCACTTCAAGAGGACAGCAAAGAAGAAACCTTTACCTTATTGGTGCAGTAAAAGAGGCAAGAGAAATCAAACAAAAACAAAAAAGAAATGAAAGGAGAAAGGCAGACCCTGGCTCATGTAGTCCTATGTTGCAGACAAGAGAAGGGTGTCTAAAGTGCAGATGGAAAGGGGTAATAACAACAGACAGTCTCTTTGTTTTGAAATTTAGATTGTAAAGATTGGCAGATGGAGGAGAATCTGAGAATGAATCGATGGTTCTGCATAAATTGTACCAGAAGGTTTTCTCAAACTGATACCAAACCGAGATGGATAATTGGTATGAAGATCGAAAAACTGCAAACCCCATGAAAGGCATAACTTGAGAGCCGCCAAATAACTTGAGGCATAATTGCCAGATAAATATTTAATTCATTCATCATAGTACTCTTTTGTAGTCCATCTGAGTGTTAACTGTTACAGAACACTACAGAGACAATTTCATAACAGGTGTAATACGTTTCAAATACCTAACATTCTCTAAGATAGATATGTTTCACCTGTGCCATGCGCACCAATGAGTCATAAACAGCCGTATCTCCATGAGGATGGAACTTGCCAAGAACCTAGAGCATAGAAGTTAGAGAAAACCCAGCTGTAAGTCTTTATTTCATAAAAGGAAAACACCCTACTAAAGTAGAAAGGAGGGTAGCATGAAACAAACTGAAACTGTACCGCTAAGATGCTAATGGATACAAGAGAAAAAAACATTAAGCTGCAAATCTACCTCTCCAACAACTCTTGCACATTTCTTGTGTGGTTTCTTTGAAGAAAGACCAAGTTCATGCATTGCAAACCTGCATTCAATATTTTAGGTAAATGAAAATGCGCGAATTTGACAAGAAGACTAAATCAGCAAAAATGTTACATCAAAAGTAGGAAGCAAAACTAGCAAGGTGCAAAAAGGGAAGAGCAACAGGAGTTCCTTTCTAATAATAATTAAAGACTATAAAAATATTTTACAAACTATATTTCTATGGAATAATAATACAGATTAAATTTCTCCAATATTGCTAATTGAATTAGAAACAGGTGCAAATATGTAATTGAGGGTGACATTAAGCTTTGATAATAGAAGTTCAGCTACTTAAATGGAGGGCATATTGTATAAAGAAAATATAGAGCCAAAAAACCACAGCTAGAACTTCAATAGCAATGCATAATGTAGTGGTTCTATCAAGCATCAATAACAGCACCAATTAACATGTTACGTCATTCATTTATGAATTAGAAGGAAAATACAGGCAAGCTAATAAATCATTTTCTTTGGAAAATGAAAATAGAACAATGTTGGAAGTGAAACAACAGTTAATGCTACTGATAATTTCATCTCCTTTTCTATGTTGGTACTGGGAAGTATAACCATCCCCAAAAGGACTATTTTGGTGTACAGTGGGCATGATTTCATGAAAGCTAAAGAGAGCTCCAACAGTAACCCTATACCACTATAACCCAAACCATTGAAAAGTTCAGTTCTCCAATTTTAACTTTAATATTACCCTTCTGTACTTCATGTTGGAGGCGATCCCTACTTCTACTCCTCAAAATAGATGTGATTTTGCAGTACAAAAATACCATGAACAACATAGAGATTTACTCACAGTACTCGCCGATGCACGGGTTTCAAGCCGTCACGAACATCTGGCAAAGCTCGGCCGAGTAGAACAGACATGGCATAAGCCATGTATGCATAGGTGGCTTCTCTGTGGAGTTCCGCTGTGACAACTCTACCCTCTTCTCCCCCACGAACGACGCTACTGCCGCCCCTCGCAGTGACGCTTCCATTTCCAGCATCTCCACCCTCCACCTCGACAAGTTCCCTCCGGCTAGCGCTAACAGGCCGTACCCGTCTTTTCTGGGTAATGGCAGCGGAAAAGAAACGGAGCTCTGAAGTTGCCCTCCTCAACCCTGGAAACGAGGGCGCTCTAGTCGGACGGATAAGCTGGTGGTGGCATCTGCGCAGAAGGCGGAACCCGGTAGCAAAGGCCATGTGTTTGGATACTTCGAAAGTGGCGTTGGGATCAGCACATTGAAGTTTCATGCCATAGAACCCTAATTGGGGGGAAAGAGGGATAGTGTTCAATTTGATAATAAAAAATGTTTGTATACACGGTTGTACCCAATTTCCTACTCATAGAGTTACAGTAATTTATAAAATACTACTCCCTCTGTCTCATTTTAAATTGCTTGTTTGTCTTTTTTCTCCGTCCCAAAATAAGTTTCATGTTAGTTGTTCTCCTAAACTTTTAAAAATAAAATACCTAAATTATTCCTAAAATAAGTCACTTTTCTTCACTTTATCTTCTCATTCATCGTCACCCCTCCTAAAAAGTAATTACAATTTCAAAAAATCAACTCTATTTTTTATTTCCTTAAATATGTCTGAAAGTCAAAACAGACGATTTAAATTGGGAGGGAGGGAGTACTTATTATATGTTTTTTTAATTTATTTTCCAAGATAAACTAGTTATTAAAATGGTACTCCGTTAATTGAGAATAAAGTTTAATATAAACTTTTGACTACTGATGCGTATTGTAACACCCCAATCCGTGTAACCCGGAATTACACGTATTAAGGTGAAACGTGGGTTAAATAAAAATTTCTCTTGACATTTGAAAATGACAATTACTTATAAATATCAAATTTACAGACTCTGGATCGCGACCCATTTAAAAAATATTTTCAGAGTAATGCGGAAGTAATAATAATCAAATCATGACACATTTAAAAATCTGATGATCAACATTTGCCTGCCATCCTTGCATCTCCTCTGACTCAATGCCCTCCGGGAGTGGTTCCATCATTGTCTTCTTGTTACCTACGTGTAGTCAACGAAAAATACAAACTACACGCTCAGCGAAACCGCTGAGTGGTACCACGCTAGAATTATAGAACAATTCATAGACATATACATATACATATATATACGTCCACAAAATGTATAATAATATTCATGATATGGCACATTATATCATATGTTCAATTTGATGATTTATGATGGTGGATATTTAATGATGATTACCTGATGGCATATTTAATCAATATAATTATTCTTGATGATGATTACATGACACCTATGTAATCAATATAATTGTTCTTGATGATGATTACATGACACCTATGTAATCAATGTACTTGATGATGATAACATGATTTCACATTTAATCAATTTGATTATTCTTGATGATGATTACATGACACCTATGTAATCAATGTACTTGATGATGATAACATGATGCATGATCCTATAACTTGCAAGGACACCCTTGCGCTATGAGATTCGCCCATTTGGTACGACGAACTCACGCGGCCTTAGTCTCACGAATGAGGTGAGACTAGAAAAATAGGGGTGGTACTCGAAACCTGAATACCATGTACGTACACTAAGCCCGGAACGGGTGATGTCGGACTAGTAAGTCCTGCACATCACGCTATAAGAGACGCAATTACGCATGATCTCTTACGCATGCATATGATATGATATGCTACAATATGTGTGATGAAATGAATCATATGATATGAACAATTTGTAAACAATATGAATGGATGAATATACTTTATTTTATTTGGGTGATATCTGATAAAAATATCATTTAATTAAGCTACGAGGCTCGGAACGGTCGACCGTTTGGCGCGACGGTCGACCTTGATCTTCATCAGGTCGGATTGGCGGATCATCGTGACGGTCGACCGTGGTGGACCGGCGGTCGACCGCGGTTGACCGGCGGTCGACCGTTGTTGACTGGATGGCGACGGCGATTCTCGGTTGGGCAGGCGACGGTCGACCGTTAGCCACCGGCGGTCGACCGTTTGTCTGACAGTCGGGGTCCATTTCGATGTTTAACGCGACGGTCGACCGTTTGCGTCGACCGTTTGGGTCTGCGAATCTTTCTCTTGATATTTTGAGTGTCCAAAATACTTCTTTAAGTCTTTTAAGCACCTTTGATTAACATATACATATTGTTGGGTTGATTTCTAAAGTTTATATTTACTTATGTGTATATTAACTTTATGGATTTGGTGTATTTTGATCTCAACATATAGATAACTTATATATGCATCACATATATATTTTGGAATGGTTTTAACATATGGAATAACATATATGTTCATGAATGTATGTGATGAATGATTCGACAAGTCTAACGCAAGGGTACAGACTTGGAAATCATCGGTCGAAACCTTACGGATGAACGGGAGTGGAAACAACATCGAAATTCACCAACTTTGTCAATCTCGTCACAATTGGACAGCCTGCGGTATTTTGGGCATATATCCATCGTTTCTTCACGGAATCGCAAACCGTTTGATTCTGCGGATTCCTAAGATATAAGGCTATAACTTTCGTACAGAAAGTATTTCGTTTTAACATATGTAAGATAGCGTAAATCGGACCTGAAGTCAATAGAAAGTTGATGTCCAGAATTTCGGGTATGTCGATGAACATGATTCCGACAATTAACTCACTAATTTCAACATTCCAACGCCGAACTTTCTTTGCAATACCTTCCGGATGTTCCTAATAATTGTTAGAGAGTTTGTGGTAAGTATTTGGGATGAAATAATATGAATTTTGGTGAAGAAAAACTTGCCAACCCGAGGAGCTCGCCACCACTGGCGCAGTCCCGGTATTTTGGCTATATCTTCTTCGTTACTTAACGAAATCGCGAGCCCTTTGTTGGGTTGGATTCGTAACGTCCGGGGCTACAACTTTGGTATAATAAACATTTTGAGAAAATGAATGGAAAATTTCAGAATTGACTCACAAGTGGACTGATTGTCTTATGCTCAGGATTTTGGACACTTGAATGGTTTTCTTGCTCCTTCTTCTTCTTCCTTAACATACTACCATGGAGTTGGAGTTTTCTTTCCTTCTTCTTGTTGCTGCCGACAGAGAGAGGGAGAGATGGAGAGGAGAAGATGAATGATGGTGTGATGTTGGATGGTGGAGAATGATGATGATGTTGATGATAATTATGGTGGTGGTGGAGTCATTATATGGAATAGCTTGGATTGTTGTGGTGTAGTGGGTTTCTTAGGTGGATGGTTGAAACAAGAGGGAGGCTAGGGAGATTTGGAAGAGATTTGAGAATTAAGTTTTGGCTTTTAGCCAAAACTGAACAATTTACTTTAAACGGTACGCGCTTTTTCGTCCAAACTGCTTCGAATTGAAAACGGATTGTGTTTTTGGAATGAGACAGTCAAAACTAGAATTTTAACGTAATCAAAATATTTTTCTGAAAACTTTCATTTTCTCAGTGTTCGAGTCTGTCTCAGTTATAAATTAATTTAATACGGAGTAATATGAATGAGATAAAAATATATGAATTAAATCCAAATGATAAATATGGTGTTGTCAAGGGTCAAAATTATGATTTCTAATTTTATGAAATCTCCTTTAAATTGTGTTTATTTTATGGGTCAAAGTTACAAATTTTAATATTTAAAATCATCATAGCTACAAATCTATAAATCAGATGGGTTCATAAAATGTACCGTTGGATTCATCTCTTCGAGACATATCCATAAAAATAATTTTTTAACAAAAAGTAATTATTTTGAAAGTCCATTTATTTTTGGTCAAACGTATAAATATTCCTTATTGGACAGAATTTACTTTTGTTTTATAATAAATTTTAGGCCATATTTTGTAGCGTTACACGTATAACCCACTAGTACTATCCGACAAATTTGCAAGCACCTGGGAGGTACCAGATTCTGACCACTTGACCTCACCGTCTCCTGTAATCTGACCAGATGGATGTCGGCGGTAAGCTCATAACTTAATCCACAGATGGTTTGAAGATTGCCCGGCTTAAAGACTGTCCGAGAGGATCCCTTGTTCCTTCGAAGAGCTTTTGCTATGACTTTGAATCTTTTCATTTTGTCCCATGTTCCCGACAGTTTGTCAATATCAAAACCTGAACGGAAACAAGCATTGTCAAAACATCAATGTGAAAATACTTTCTAACATTTGGTATTTGTTTGATTGATTTATAACCATATATTAACCTCCAAAAACACTAAAAATGAATGTTTTTGACTAGAATAACTCTAATACCAAAAATTGAGTCGATCACCCCTTCAGAGATCGATCACCCGACGTTCCAACTCAGATTTAAGCCGTTTTTTGATATTGTATGGATGATAAATGTTTGGTATTGGTTTGATTGACTTATAACCATATTTTAACTTCTAAAAATACTAAAAATGAATGTTATGGACTATAAGAAGTCTATGTTAAATCATATTTTCCATGAAGTGTTATGAACCAAACGACATCATCGGACGGGTTGGACTAGAAGAATTATAGTACTATATTATGCGGTTTAAACTTGAGTTCCTCACATGATCCAATCCATGAACATGATTAAATGATGTACACTACAAGATTTTGTTAAATTTGCGACGGGAAATTTCCTACGGATTAAATCCGTCACAAATTGCGACAGGCTTTGCGACGGTTACTAGCAATTTCAAAAGCTGCGACGGGATAAGATAATCCGTCGCAGAATTGCGACGGCTCTAGTGTTTTGTCGCAAAGCTGAGCTTATTGGTCGTTGGGACAAGGTGATTTAGTTTTAAATGTATTACAACTTTTATATATGTATAAGTTATTTTCTTAATATTCATATTATTATAGCATTGAGTATCTAAAACAAACGGGTTATATGTAACTATATGCATAACTTCTAACAATCCTCATCTTATACGAATGTATAGTTTTGGAATTCCAAAGAATTTAAGCATAAATCTGAAGTGAAGAAAAAGAATAGAAGAAAGGGGAGAAATGAAGGCGTAGCTATAGGGACCTATACTGGAGGGTCGATTCCTTTTTCTGAACAACTTGCCCGATTGGTAAATAATGAACGAATGAATGCATATTAGTACATTTTTAACTTGTAAATATTAATGTTAATTACAAATACGTAAGTAATGAGTGATAAGTAATGAATGAGTGAAAATATAATTTGTTTGATGAATTGACAATGTTTATATTGTAGGCCGAAAAGTCTGAAGCTCCAATAACAGTGGTGGATGCTTTCAAGCACACCAAGATGAAGAAACGTGATGGTAAGACATGGATAGATCCAGAAAATGCACAACTTGAGGTAAATGTGAATGCACACTTCTTATTATTTAGAGTTAAGTTTACAATGCGACAATGTGATGATTACATATAATCCATATATTTATTCAATTCATTATGTATTCCATTGTACAGGCTGATTTTGTACAGTTGAAACAAATGGCTGAGGAGTCAAGCCTTAAAGTCACGGATCAGGAGATTTGGTTTGAGCTAGTTGGTGGCTTTGATCAAAAGAATAGGATTAAAGGAGTCGGAGATCTTGCCGAACAAATGAAACCCCTTAAACCTAGATATCAAGGCAAAAGAATGAGTACTAGTGATATTTTAGAGATTGAGCAGCTGAGAGCGGAGAATGAGGTCATGAAGGCAAGGTTGGATAAGATTGAGTTCACAGTTGCTGAACAAATTCGAAGAATGTGTGGTGGAAATCTTCTGACACCTCGAGACCCTGATGACGGTATGGGAGGCCAAGAACTGGTTGTGTGGCATGAATAAGTACTGACATTTATGTGTTTTATTGAATATTGTGCTGTGATTGAAAATGGATTGGATTGAATTGACCATGAATTGAGAAAAGATTTGTGTTTTAATGAATTTGACAAATTCTGTGTTATTTCACTGCTGTTGTTTATATGTTGTATTATTTCATTGTTATTGTGTTGGTGGTCATAAGAAAATGAGGAAGATTCTGGTTCTGTACTCTGGTGCATCTGCGACATATTTATCCCGTCACAATTTCCGTCGCAAAGAACACTTTTAGGACGCTTAAACTTTTGTCGCAGATTTCGTCGCAATTTGCGACGGAATGTTAAATCCATCGCAAATAATGGAAAAGGTATTTCCGTCGCCGAGGCCGTCGCCAAACTGCGACGATACCATTATTTCGTCGCAAAAGCCGAAAATGCGACAATTTTTTTGTGACGGATTTATTCTGTTGCAAGGCCATCGCAATTTGTTAATCTGTGACCGAAATGGAGTTTTTTGCGACAAAATTTGTCCGTCGCAGATTTAGCAAAATTTTGTAGTATTAAAAGGGAATTTTTGGATGATATTTTGTTATGGACCTTATGGTAAAACTCTATATGCTCTAATCCATAAATGTGATGATTTTGATGGCAACACTAATAACCAAAGACGTATTTTTGGATAGTTTACATCTAGATTATTTATAGTGGTAAATAGTATGGATTTGAGTGTATAAATGTGAGTGATATTAGGAGTTGAGTATTTACGTACATAAGGTCCTAGAATCGGTCAGGCGCCCGGTGATCACTGTTATTCGTTTTAGACGTTGTGCCCACGCCTAAGAGGGGGGATGAATAAGGCGTTTGAAAACTTTTCGGAGTTTGATAAAAACGGTGATGGCAAATGCGGAAGCAATAACTAAAACGCAAAAATAAAAACGTAAATAAAATGCACACTGATTTTATACTAGTTCGGGAACTCCCTACTCCAGTACCTCGAGGCTCCTTCTCAAGGATTTCCGAATCCACTAAGTCTCGGTCTCTTGAACTTCGTCAAAGCACCGTACTAGTTTGGCAAACAACCCTTGCCAATAGGATTCACTCCGAGATTTCACCACGGCTATCTCGAACCGTTTACAATGAAGATTTAACCGCTATCTTCTACCGTTCCCCCAAGGATTTCAAAGGCTATCCTTGAACCATTACCCAAGGATTTATACGGCTATCCTCGACCGATACAATATGAGAATTTAACGGCTATTCTCGACCGTATAAAGATGTGTTTGAAGAACACAAACAAGAGTTCTACACAACGGCTTGAATATAAAAATGAAGAACAAAACTTAGCCGGTGTAGAAGGAAAGTATACTCTCTCAAAAATACAATTCAAACTTATGAATATGAGAGTATATAACTAGAAACACAAGCTCAAAGTGTGTGTATAAAAATTAGGAATTTAAGGCTCTTAAAATAGCCAAAA